TATATATATATATATATATATGTATATATATATATATATATGTATATATATATATATATACATATATATATATATATATATATATATATATGTGTGTGTGTGTGTGTGTGTGTATGTATATATATATATATATATATATATATATATATATATATACACACAAATATAATTTTTAAAATATTTTAATATAATTATATTATACCTTAAAAAAGATTTAAAAATTCATGAACATCATATTTAACATTCAACTATTTTAATTATATTCAACGTGACAATATTCTTTATGTCATCTTTTTCAATTTTTACCCTATGTAGATGTTTATAATAATCAATCAATAGCAATTGGATACAGAAGAATTCATAATAATTAGAGCTAATTATATATTATCTCTTTAGTTATCTTTAGTATTTGAATTTGTATACTTTCAAAAATTATATTAGGATTATTATAATATTTTTTTTCTTAAGTCATCAATTTTATTGTTGAAAATATTGTATAATTTATCATTAAATATATGATGATTTTGTCTTATTTCGATTTACAACCGATCATGTGCTATGTTTTCGTTAATAAAATTGATAACATGAGAAAAAATGAGAATAGTATAAGGATCACAATGTACCTTTTGAATATATAAAAATTAAAATATTAAAGTTAACTAATTATAATAAATAAATAATATGTAATTAGTCTTAATAATCAAAGTGAAACATTAATGATAGATGGATAAGACAAAAATATGCAAACCAGATTCACAATGTCAGCACAAATGGAAACTTAATATTATTTAAATTATAAAATAATAAAAAATATATGATCCATATTGGCACATGATTAATGATTCCGACTATAAAAAGGAGCCTCTAATACTCGTGTTTTTTCTTTCTTTGTGTTCTAACTCTCTCCACATGAGTCTTCTATCGATTTACAGCTATTAGTACAATTAACTTTGCATTTGAAAAAGATCACACTGTATCCTGCAGCAGTTTAATAAGATAAAAATAACACATTGCATGTCGAAATTAATATAGAGATCTCGTTTAATTCTGCCAGAGTACTACAAAATTTGCCCAAGGACTTGTATAAACAAAATTAAAGAAAGGGTAATTTTGGAAGAAAAACCTTTTATTTTGAGAAATTCCTAATTATTTTTTTCAAAATTCTTCTAAAATATCTTTTTGTTTTAATATAATATTACTTATCTCCTGTCTTCACCTCGTCAGTTGTCACCTCTATCCTATTGCCTTTGTCTTCAACTTCGTTCCACTGTTCTCACCCTATCATCGATCGTTATTGTTATCATCTTAGCATAGAAGACTACAAGACTGTCTTCACTTTTTTTTTTTTTTTTTAAATTTGCTTTTGTCTTTATCTCATTGTCTTCACGTATCAGTGACTATTGCTTTTACTTTCCCCTTCCATCTTCCTCTATCGAGAGGATCTTGTGCCTTCACATTCGTCCATAGCCCCCTTCACAAAGGTGACGAAAAGTCGATGACGATGGATGGAGACATTCAAGGACAAAGATAGGAGAATAATAAAATTGAGTGAAGATGGCTCCATAGTAACCTCATAGGCTACTATCATAAGCTTAAATAATTAGATGATTATTCAATTTTAAATTAAATCAAAACTGAACATAGGTGATTCGATTATGGCTTTGATTCTGATTTAATTGATGGTTTGTAATTAATTTTTTTAAATTTTTTTTTATTTTTTTTAAATTTTTTTTATTTTAAAAAAATTAAATATAAAAAAAGATACGATAATTGGTTTGGTTTCAGTTCTTAAAATTTAGAAATTGAAATCAGTTCCGAAAGCATGATTAGGTCTACTTGGTTAGCAAAGTTACATTGGTTTTGTCTCATCAAATTAGGATTTGACAATTCGAAGAATAAACTGAGTGACCATTCTATAATATAAAAAAAATAAATATAAATATATAA